GCGGGGAGCATAAGCCACAAGTTTTCGAGGGCTGTTGGGTAAGCAGGGACCACCTTGTGTAACCAGAGTATATAGATGTAGCACCTCGTCCGAGAAGATGGTCAATCAGCGGTTGCGATGGCTTGTGATCCGCCTGCAGCACTGCCTACCGTCACTTCACGAGAGGTGAAAAGTGAGACCTTGCAGTATTGGCTGGGATGAGGACGCTGCGTAGTCAAAGTCGAAGCAAGGAAAAATCTGCAGCGCTTGAGGTAAGGACAACTGCCGCACTCGCAGATGCGCTGGTGAGTACGCTCGAAGCTTGCTTGCGGTGGGTGAGTCATCTAGATCCACGTCGCGATGCAGGGTGCATCCGGCCGTGGCTTCGCCGACATATTCTGAAACAGCCCGGATGAATTACGTGCATGATCAGTCATACTCCATGACGACGCTCTATCACGAGCAAGATATGGTGAATGTTGAAGAACGAAAGTTGCGCGAGGGATACGCCTGGGAAAGGGTTGAAGCGTGGAAGGTCCGAAGGATTCACCCGCTTGATGTCGGCTTAAGTGGGGCACCTGACCCATCGCAACCCCCCTGTCGAGCTGAAAATACAAGAGAAACACCGAGCATCCTTACAACATAGCATCATGCTCAATATGCACGATCCTTTTGGATCATGAAATCGATACCAGTACAAGCAAAAGCATCATGGTAAACGTGGGGCAGGCCGCCACGGCCGCGGCGTATGTATGTTGCCCCGCGTATTCGTTTGCTCTGAGGCGCAGTTCTTATTCCCAGCTGCAGGTCTCGGGGTCGCCTTTGCAGCTTCTGAAACATGGCAATGTGGGATGCTATCGATAAGTCCAACCAGATGGGAGACTACCGGACGACTACTGGATGGTGCTGGGATGGATGGCCACTTTGCGTAATGCTCTCGCTTTGCTTCACTTGAGGATACTCCTCTCCAATCGCGCATTCGTAGACCCGGCAAGCGATCAGTGTTGAAACGGAAACGTCACCTCCGATGCAGTCTTCCTTTTGGGAAGAAGCGACCGTTTCCCCTAGACAAGAGTCGCATCGGCCGGAGCGAGATATTGCCAGGTCATTGTGGGTATCACGGGTATCATGAGGCCCGATTGTGTTGGTACAGTAGAGGTAACATCGGCAGCGCCGGACTGATCTGCCAGGCATCGTCACCGCCTGCACAGCCGCAACGTGTTTGTCCACGTGCGCTTCGGCTACGGGCGAGAGTGGCGCAAATGCTTCGACGCCACTTGGGCTTGCTCGTCGCATTCACAGCAATATCGTCATGCGAGCATGTTTGCGCAAACAGGAGTCGCAGAATATCGCATCATGCTTCAGCAGGCGCCGAAGCTACTCGACGATGGGACTCTGGCATGATAAACTTCTGGGCCGTCTGCGGCTCACATGACCGTGGGTTTTTCGGTAGAGCAGGGATTGCAAGCAGGGTTCTATGCCGGCTGATTGGGCTGACTGTTTGCAGCCCATTTTTAGGCTCAAGCAACGTCAACCTGTAGATGGCCCAAGACCACGACGACTACTCCGAGTACACCCACCTTGAAAGTCCTGCTCAGAGACACCCCTTGACAAGCGTTGGGAGCTCGTCCTCCTTTTTAACCGCACACCCTCCCGAAAGGGCAGTAAATCCGCTGCTGTGTTTCCTGCATCTGGACGCGCAAGGAAAGCTTCTGGAATGCGTGTGATGTCGCAACTCCAGATCCTCGACGCCCAACTATACGTGTAGTTGCAGGCTTCAGGATGGTGCAATGCTCCGCGTACGGCGTATGCCCACTTGATGCTGCGGTGTCGCGATCAAGTTTCTGCAGCCTCACATGCATGGTGAACCGTGAGCGTCGTCTTCAGCTGCCCTGGTGCAAGGCATTATTCGGTCATAGTTGTCGATTGCATTTGCTATTTCCACGAAAGAGGCTGATCGGACGCCTCTTTTGTTGTCATCTCCGTGGTTGCATACCGGAGTAGTCGTTCGCACAACTATGGCAGCCATGAGAGCATCGCAATCTTCGCGCACCTAGAGATCCGCCTACCAACGCGTGCGCAACGCGGTCGCCGTGTCCGTCGGTCAGCTTAGATCCGACTAGACCTGCAGCTGCAGACTCTCGCCATATGCACGTTTAAACAAGCTAGATGCGCAGTGCAGCTAAACGGGGCAGTGTGCATGAAATCCTTGCCGAGCTGTGTGGCCAACGCCGACCCATGATCGTCGCTTGTAAGCTCTTAAGAGATCCCACCCACCACCACTAGTACCCTTCTCTACCCTCCACCTCCCACCTCGCCTTCCCTCCACCTCATTCGCCCGCCCTTCCCTGTCTCTCCTCCTCAATCCAAGGCGCCTCTCGAAAAATTATATCCGCCAGAGACATTTTTCTTATAACCTCTCTTTTGTTCTTTTCTTTGAATCTTTGATAAACCGTCCCATCTAATATCGCAACGTCTCGCACATACCACGAAACACACAATGCCGATCTCGTTACTACCCGCCTCGGCTGCGGCCTTTGCGCCCAGATCAAACGTCAACGTCGTACTAGCCTCCAAGGTCGAGCCATGGTTAACACAAACGCTCAAGAGAGTGAACCGGGTCAAGCGTCCGTTGAACAGCGTCCAGCAACACACGAGGTGTCTCACAGAAACTCTTTCAGGACCCAACGCTATGTGGTCGCTGTGCTCTATCATGGTACCAAAGGCCCCAGATTCGGAACTGCGCAAGGACTCCAACCCACTAGTCGAAGCTCTCTTCAACTACCAGCTTATCCACATTGAGGCCTACGTTGTACACGTCGACATGGTTTCACAACATGAGGTTGCATTCAAGCTTACACCGGAGACCATCGAGGCGCTTATCGAGTACCACAAGGACATCTACTCGGTCGATGTATCTGCCAGCACCTGGGAGTGGGCCGAGAAGGAGCAACAGTTGAAGAAGCTCCAGGATGGATTTGTCCAGGCTGTCAACCGCTACGTATTCCGAACTGGTGTCAAGGCTCTGGAAGGACTCGAGGAGGATGGTGCGGGAGAGCTACTCGAGGGACGAGGTGAGGACGTCAAGAGCGCCATCATGGGCTTGTTCCTCCCGCTCCTTCCTCCTCCTCCCAGGATCGTCGACGTTGTCCGCCCAGCACCACTTCTTCCCAGCTCGCCTGGCTCAGCCAACTGGTGGGTGCCAACACAGCAGTACCAGTCGCACTCAGCCCCGGTCGACCAGTGGAGAGTGGTTCCTTCTACACCCAGCCCGACCATTGCTACCTGCGGTGAAACTGGACAGACGTTCTGGAGCACCATGGGCACCATGGGCTTCGAAGCGATCCAACTTCCGTCACCGACACCCTCGTACAGCCAGCCATACAACTCGACTAGCCCGTATGCGCAGAGTACTAGCCCGTACGCGCCCAGCACGAGCCCGTACACGTCAAGTTCGTACTACAGCCCGCCCCCAGTGTCGGCACCGATTCCAGCCCTTCCTCTGCCGAGCGTGCTAGCCCAGCAGTGCGGGTCAAGCGCCGTGCATGGAGGATTCGGCGGCTTCGGATGGGACACAGGATTCGCGCCACAGTACGCAGCATTCACATAAGCTGGATGACAAGTCGACTGTGGTGCATGCACCTGTTCTCTGTCGATGTTTGGAAGCGTGGACCTGGCCAGTCCCCTTGCCCTTCCCTTTACCGCGCAGGTTGGCCGCGCACCAGCCTTGCGACGCCCGACACGAGACGAATGCGATATTCACGACATGATGTGCAAACATCACTACCAAACCGGCATGGGACGGCGTTTTGTCACTGATTCTTTTTAGCGAGCGTCATTTCTCCTCTCATTCTCGTACATGTCTATTTTTTGATACCTGTTCTTGTCTCTTTGTTTTTAGCGAGCGATTTCTTTTTTGTCACCACAACGGCCGGACCAGGTCTTTTCATTACTTGAATACAGCATCTCTGGGAGGTTTGCATGTCGGGCATTTCAACGGAAGACGGATAAACACAGCCTCACGGCTCACGATGTCAGGAACACTCGGTTTGGGTTTTTGCGATTTTCTGTTTTAATGTCGTTTACACTCCTGGACGGATGCGCTATCTCTTCGTTGAGCCTGTGGCATGCCATGACTCTTACGATCTGACGCGATTCACGTTCACGAACTTGCCTACTCAGCCTGGCATTGAATGCTAGCTGGACATGCTGAGGGGCGGCGACAAAAGTTATACATGCATCTGCGATGCCGCTGTGATAGCTCGTCTCTGCTGCGAAGGAGGACTGGGTCGACACTTGGGAAGCGACTGTGCGGGGTCAAGACACGAGTACGCCCGTGGCGTCTCTGGCTTTTGGGAGGTGGTCCTCTGCTTGCGGAGCAAACACTTCCCGATGGACCTCTGCACTTTTACCGACCTTGATCGACTTGGGATACTGGCTGCACAGAGACTGTAGGTTCATCTCCTACACTTCAAGCTAGTCTTGGAAGAAGCACTCCCCAGTTGAGCTGGGAGCAGTTGAATCGGATGCTGGACAGAAGCAAGCTTCTTTAGCCTTCTAAACTTAATAAAAAACGAAACTTTGAATCCAACAAAAGAATTTTCTAGAAGGGCGCATTGGTGCAGTGATGTATGTGTGCAATAGTGGAGCCGGGCTGGAGCGGATCTGTGGACCATGGTGCTGGGACAAAGTGAGGGTCGATGAGGAGGTCTGGGGCACAAGCGAGGATGATGCAACTGTGCCGCATGCCTCTTTGCGCAACCCATTGGTAGGGCGGAGCGGAAGCCAACGGCGGGACAACGGGGGGAAATGCATGGCGAAATTGGGTGGGCTATCATGTGCTATTACGCTCATCAATCAGGGCGAAGGGGTGTCATGGCGGCATCTTTGTTTTTCACCAGAGTTTGACATGGTCGCGTAACACTTTGGCCGAGGACACGCCTTTGCCTCTGATCTCGAAACATTGTGCCCTTTGCGACGACTCATCTGACCATGCCCGCTGCGCCGCGCGCTTCGTCATAATGCCGCCCGCCAACTCGCCTGTAAGGAAGCCCATTTCCGTCGCCGGCTGCACCGCTCGTGACGGTAACCGCGGTTCAGCGCCCGGACAGCCCAATGTTGAAGAGGCACGACTGACGTAGCTGCACAACAGGACGACCCGGAACCCGCCTTCATCTCGGCCTTGCGTGAACTCGAGAGCCCCGTAAACCACGACGTCCTCAACCTCGCCGCCACGCTGGGCACCCAGACGGACCAGGGAGAAGACGCCATCATCATCGAGGTGCCCGCAGGCCTCAACGCCGACGACGACGACATTGAACGCGCCCACGTGCACTATCTCCGGGCTGCACGCGAGCGGGACCAGGCGCGCTTGAACCGCTCACAGGAGCGATTGCGCCTCTTGGAACGCCAGCGAGACGAGCTCGAGCAGCGAGACCGGCTGAGGAGAGTCATGTCGCGGCTCTCGAGGCTGTCGGACAACAACTATGGCGACCGCGTCCCTAGCCAGAACAGCCTGTACGACTGGTCGCCCGCCAACGATGCCGCTCCTGGAGCGCCTGAGAGCTCCTTGAGGTCGACTGCCATTCTGCAGTCGGCAGGCGTGCGTCGACACCCACGCTTCTCTGCGCGCACCAGAGAAGCCGCCACGACGACGACGGGCAGCGAAGCACCGCCACGCCACGTTTCGCATCGCAGTCTACGGGACATGCTTGCCGCGAGATCGAGCCTCTTCAACGAGTCGTCGGAGCGAGACCGCCAGTCGAGCGCACGCCAGCGATCAAACGAGAACAGAATGTCCCCCATGCTGGAGCAGACTGTCAAGTATCTTTCGCGCATACGACACTGCCAATCCGAAGACGAGAGCTGGGAGCGTGCGCGAGACGCCGGCATCCTGACCAAGGACTACTTCTTACAGCACGCAGACTTCGTCGCCGACACGTCGCACATAGCTCCGCCCACCGAGACGTCGTGGCTAGCGCCAGGGGCAATACTCTCGGGCTGTCAGCATGCGACGACTATGCCAGCCGTCACCACTTCGTACAGTCGGCACGCGGGGCTCCCACCACCCATCCGGCCGTGGATATGGAACCCCTCCGAAGCCTCGACGAGCCGGACCTCGCACCACTCTGACGCGCAACCGCACCAGGACCGATGGCCGGTCAAGGTCACAATACACGACGTGGACTGGGACCAAATGTCCCTCTCCGCAACCATGGAAGCGTATAACGTACCCTCCCACCCGCATTCGCACACTATCTTCCCCACCAACAACACCACGCCGCCCGTCACACGCACTTCCTCGATAACCACCTACCTCGAAGGCGAAATCCTCGACTTCAACACCCACACCCTCCTCACCGAATCCTTCAAATCAAACGCCGCAAACGACGCCACATACTGGCGCAAGCTGCCGCCCTTCCAGAAGATGAGCGACGAAGACGTCGTCCGCGCACTCACGAGCAAGAAGTGGCTTACCGAAGTCCTTGGCCAGGACTGGATACTCATGCGCTGGAAAGAGCGATGTTTCGTAAAGAGTCTGAACCGCAGCACACCCGATCCCGTTCAACCACCGCCCTCCACCACGATACCCTCTTCGTTTCCTACCGCCGACGCCGGTCCAGCGCCCAATCCCTGGGCGGCGACGGGTTCCGCAAACTACGTCCCCGCCACTTCCAACACCTCTGCACAACCCTCCCCGCAACTCCAACCTTCGCCCTACCGGATAGTCCGCAATGCGCAAACGGGTCGAGCCGAAGTCGAAATCACACCACAACCCCTCTTCAATGCAATAACCAACGATGCAGAACACGCTACCTTTGACGACTCCGGCTGCGGGCTTACAATTAGTGGCTTCTACTACGTTGCGCTCGATCGGAGGAACGGCATGCTGGAGGGATTATATTATGATCCGCAGAGCAGTCCGTATCAGTGTTTGAAGTTAGAAAGTGTGAATGGCGGGCTAAGGAGTGCTTGGGGATTTAGGTGATGCGGCAGAATCGCTGTCTTGAAAAGAGAATGTCAAGACAACACAGAAGATGGAGCGGGAAGAACGAGACGGGCGTGGAACAATTGCATTGCCATGGAGTTTTGTATTGGATATGGGACTGCACCGCCCATTGAGGCTCTCCTAGATGGATCGGGATCATGTTTTACTTTGTCGCTTATTACAATTTTTGTTAGATGATGTTTGTTCCACAGAAATATCAATATACTACTTTCAGCTCTTACAAGGCCGCCACCGTGAGTAGCCAAGAGTATCCGGGTGGGTCCGTGAATATTCAGTAATACATTGCAGGCCTTAAGACACATAATACGCTGCAGACGCTCTACACGCGTATTTTGTATAGATGTACCAGCAAGCCGCATGCAGTCAAACACTATCCACCAATGATTAGTATTGCATTACAGCCCCGCTTCCGCATGCAGTAAGTCCTGCCGAGTATCGTCATCTTTCGAGACCCTTTCGGCATGCCGATGGGCTACGCGATGGACCCAACGTAGAGGCGAACACTGAAAGAGTCACCGTAAAGTCATAGTATCCAAGTTCTGGGAGAGATACAAAGCTCGCCGTCAGTCTCGAGTGAATTCCAATCCAGTTCAAACTCAACACATCAGTCCCCATTACTTCCCTAGAAGCATACCTAAACAGAGCTAAGCATTCATCATGGCGTCTCCGGAATACCCCAAAACTCCCGTCAACAAACTCGGTCGTTTAGCAAACCGAGCTGCCTACGACTACGCCACCATTCATACTCTCGTTAACACCTGTCCTATTCTCCATGTCTCCTTCGTCGACCCCGAACACCCCTTCCCCGTTGTCCTACCCATGATAGGTTGCACTGGAAACTTTTCCTCGCCTTCCTCGGACCCGGCAAGCACATCTCAGGATCTTTACATTCATGGCTACGTCTCCGGTCGTATATTCAAGAGCGGGAAGAACGCCGATGGCCAGGGATTACCCATCACAGTCGCAGCTAGTTTTCTCGATGGCCTTGTATTGAGTCTGACGCCTTTCCATAATTCGTGCAACTACCGCTCTGCTGTTGTGTACGGGTATGCGCAGTTGGTGGAAGACCAGGAAGAAGCTCTGTACGCTATGAAGGCCATTACGGATAACATGCTCCCCCAGCGTTGGGACAAGTCTCGCACACCGCCCACACCTGCCGAGCTCAAGTCTACGTCTATCCTGCGTATTAGGATTGAGAGTGCGAGTGCGAAGATAAGAACGGGTGGGCCGAGTGAAGACAGGGCCGATTTAAAGAACGCTGAGCTTGTGAAGAAGACTTGGACGGGTGTCGTGCCGTACTGGGGTACTTGGGGTGAGCCTGTGCCGGGTAAAGAGAATGGATGTGAGGATGTGGAAAGCTACATTGAGGGCTGGAGGATGAAGGAAACAGGACAGGCTCGAGGGTATGCGTTTGAGGCTATCGAGATGGATGGGAAGAAGAAATAAGAAGTGGAATAGGGAGGAAGAAGGTGGAGTTTGGGTGTAGCGGGGGAATTGGAATTTGTGAAGGTTTGCCTTAGGAGTTGGTGCGTTCATTCTGCATGATATCAGTTAGCGTTTTACGCAAAGTTGTTAGAAGTATTGTTTGCTTGATATAACAATGGAATGACCGACGCCTGTTGTCGACCAACAATTCTGCATATCAATCACAATCATGCAAGCAAACAATGTTTGAAAGAAGCATGCGCGTACTGAGTTTGTTTTTGACAAGTACAAGTATGCGCACAAGGCTTCCCTACCCAATCTGTCTGAGCCTAATCTTCGCCTTATACATGATGTCTTGTATATACCATCCATCCATGTGATCCCATATAAACCTCAACAACATTCAGACGCCTTTGGAGCTTCGCCTAGCAGCCTTGAGGCGGCTTCTTGCTGTACATGCGCCAGTAGTGCACGTTCTCCTCTGCGGTGAACCTCCTCTCCTTTGGCTCGCTAGCCCGGATTTTCTTCTGAATAGATTTTTCCAAGGCCGCATCTTTCGAAGCCTTCGCAGCGAAGAAGGCCTTCTCGTCTGCCTGTTTCTTGGTCGCACGCTTAGCCTTCTCCTGGAGATAGGCCTCGTGACGAGCCTGATTCGCTTCCTCTCGGGCACCGCGTTTGGCAAGCCTCTCCATTTTGCGGAGATAGGAGTCATGATTCTGGATCGCTATCTTGATGGCATCGTCGAGAACAGGGTTTTGTGCTAGATAGACAGCGAAGTCTTCAGGATCCGGTATCGTGCCTTCCCATACATGCTTGACGAGGCCATTGACGACAATCTTGAAAAGACGCTCGTGACTAGTCTTGAATGCAATGATAGCATCAATGTCTTCGTATGCCGGCGGATCATGTCGAAGAAGAGCTTCGCACTTCTTGTACAAGTGGACAGTGTACTTGTCCATCCCAAGTGCACGAGCTGCAGCGCATACACCTAATGTCTTGGCCATATCCAGCGCGCGAGTAAAAGGAAGCGGCTTCGCAGTGACCTTGACGATGGCTTCAAGATATTCTACCACACGGATTACACCGCTCTCGTCAGTGTCTGCTGGCAGCTCGATAGTACCGTCTTTGAGAATGTCGCCAACCGTTGCAGAAGTTGCGCGAAGCAACGGCTTCGAGATTGTCGTTATAAGCACGCCGTCGATAAAGATCTGGACACGGTCACCCTTGACTAGCATTTGACGGTCGGCGAAGGACCAGTCGCGTATGTCAATGTCTTTGGCTGTGATCTGGGAGGTAGCTACGACAGCAGCTGCGTCTTTCTTCTTCTTGTTGACCTTAGTTTTCGTGTCAAGAAAGATCATATCCCAGACTTTGGCATCGACAGGAATGTATTGAACAGAGGAGTGGGAAATTGGAGGCGTCATGGTTGTTTTCTGTCGCTTTGCGAGTCAAGTAAGTGTTGTTGTAGTTGACACCGGAGTTGAAGATGGTAGTTCGGAGGAAGGTCGTACTGAAGGGGGTGTTCTTCGTGAGCTTGTCGCAAGTCGGAACGATGAAAGAGCGTTTTGTGTTAGCCGCCGGAGCTCGATTATCACGGACAGTCCAGATCAACTGTCAGTTGGGTCTAGGCTGTTGAGCGTATGTGTGGAGGGTGGAAGAATTAGAGGACTGTAGGATTAGGGGCTATATAGCAAGAGGAAAATAGTGAACCGCGATTGTGCAATCTCGTGCGACTTGAACAGTGAATTCATTATGTGGTTAGATTAGTCTTCTGCAATGTGAAAGGCCGAGCAAGGTCTGAAGGTGGCGCTGGAGAAAGGCTACAAGATCGAGGTCAGTAAGGTTGGCAAAGACCAGAAATTCACACTTCGTTTGAATAGCTCAAGTTAAAACATCGATTCAGATCGTGAGAAAGCGTCTGTAATACAGACTCACTAACTCACATGCTGCTAATAACATGGCTCCAAAACAAATTCACTTTTACTTAGCATCCAATGCCCCCTGGTGCGGCATGATTGGCTTCAGACTCTTGACATGATCCAAGAAACACATGCTGTTCGCGTACCGATTGTTCTCTGGTCCCATGATCGCTGTGTTTTCCGGGTTAAGGAAGTTGTGCGGGAATCCCATGTCGAAGCCGTACGCTGCATCAATCTGCTGGATCTCCTCCAGCGTTAGAACCAGACCAAGAGCCTGAGTATTGCCCTCGAGATGAGAAATCTTGCGACCACCGACAATGGGGAAGACGTACGGCGACTTGTGCATAACATAGGCAAGGGCGACTGAGGTGATCGGCGGCACTGGGCTCTTCGCATTGGCAATGTCCTCGAGAACGTTGCTAACCTTTTCCTCATTGCCGATGATCATCATCTCCATCTTTCGGCCACCGTCTTCTGGGTTTTCTCTTTGCGCCCTTGTCTTGAAGCTTCCACCTCCGATAGCGCCCCAAGGAGCCAAAGCCATGCCTTCATCAAGTGCCATGGGGATGATCTCACGCTCGAACGAACGCTCAGCGGCAGACCAGCGGCCTTGGTAGATTGAGAATTGGCGTAGACCGTGTTGTCTGGCATAGCAGTTTGCTTTGACGACGATCCAGGCTGGAGTGTCGGAGATGCCGAGGTAAAGGACCTTGCGGGAGCTGACGAGGTCGTTGAGCGCATTCATCAGCTCTGGTATAGAGACCGTTGAATCCCAGAGGTGGACATAGTACTAGCAAACAGGTCAGGCACGGTACTAATATGAAGACGCCTCAACTCACAATATCCACATAGCTCGTTCTCAGCGCCTTGAGTGACCGCTCAATACTCGTATACATATTCTTCGCGCTGTTGCCTCCGTAGTTACTCTTGCACCTTGCACCGCCTTCCTTCTCCTTCTCCGTGATCTGCATTCCAGTAAACTTTGTTGCAACCACCATCTCATCTCTAACGTCTCGCTTCTCCATCCACTCTCCAATCCACTGTTCGCTCTCGCCGAATTGATAGTTGACGGCAGTGTCGATGAAGTTGCCGCCTTGCTCGTAGAAGTAATCTAGCATAGCGAAGACCGTCTCTTTACTACATTCGCCGAGGGAAGCCTTCCAAGCCTCTCCAAAGTTCATGGCACCGAGACAGAGAGGTGAGACCCGGACGGCTGCTGTGGGGCTGAGGATACGATGTCTACCCAGGGGAGACACTGGTGCAGTCGGCGTGATGAAAGACATTTTGCTAATGGTTGTGATATAGAACTGACACTATTAGACCGCCTGAGTGGTTACGAAAGGACTTTTGAAGTCATTGCGGCTTCCCTTTATATGCGGCTTAACGCCGTGAGCTCCATGTCTTAACGCCGATGGCATATGCAAATGAGCTGTCAGCCTGGCCGGGCGGACAAGGTCCATCAAACCAGTAGGGTATCGAGACTGATCAACTCAACCCATCTCCTCACCGAACAGCCCTTCTACCCATCCATCTTCGGACCAATCCGCCTCCCACACTGAGCCGTCCTTCCGAGCTTGAGCCGCGAATGCTCCTACCTTCTCTTCAACCACACTGACATCAACACCCAATTCTTTCAGCTTCTCGAAGACGCGGGTAGCAACATCGCCTTCGAACTCCTTGGGTCCGATACCGTAGCCGCATCTGCACAGGAGGATAATCTCGCATAGATATGGCGCGTCGGTCTTGTGATCGACCAGTATGTCAAGCCACTCAAAGATAGCTAGGGTGGGGCATATCACAGTCAGCGACTCGAGGTTTGGGGGTGGTATGATACCGTTGAAGTAGTGGTGTTCATTGAACGTGTTGCGTGCTTCATACAGCAGCACCCCCTGTAAAACCTCCATCTTGGTCAACTTCGAGAACGAGTGAAGACCAGGCACATTTGTGCAACGACCAAAACAACGTCTTGGATCGAAGTGGTTGGAAACTTCATAGTCAATCTTTAGGTACTCCAAGCTTAGAGATACATTTTCCGCGTCACTAAGAGCGCGCGCGATGTACTCGAAGCTGCCACACCAACGCTTGACGGCCGTAGGGCTCCGCACAAACAGTATCTCGAGATGAGTGATAGTCGATTGAGGGAGGTTTTGGAATAAACACGGAAGCTGTTCGTCGTGATATAGATGGGTCTCGCCATGAAGCTCGGCCCAGTCGCTTCGCACGATCAGTGTGTCGATATTCGGATAAGGGGGTAAGAGGCATTGGGCCACTGAATTGGCGAAAGATTCGTGTTCCCCGTAAGCTGCATCTGTAGTACTGTACTCCCGCCATAGATCGATTTCTAGGACTTGCAAAGAATAAAATGGTAATTGCAGCATACGCATGCTCTCACCAAAGATTCTCAGGCGCTTGATGGTGCGGAATTGTGAAAAGCCTGACCAATGGCCTGGTGTATGCTGGACTTTGTCGCCTTCAATTCCATAGAGCGCTCTGTAAATATCCGAAGTGGGTACACATAAATTCTCCTGACAGTATACGTTGACGTGAAGCATGCGAAGGTTGTCGCAAAGTGCGAGAAGGAGCCCAGCTACAGCGTTCGGCAAGCCAATCATTAGTTTGGACCGCCAAACAAACTCCTCCTTGCTCTCGAACGGACTCTCTGTCCCAAACAGATCCAGTCTGTTGACACTCTGAGCTATTTGAAGCAACATTGCAGTGTACATGTTTGTACATATCATGGCTTGATTAAGCACGAGCAAAGTGTTGTCTCCATAGATCGTTGTACTGAACGCCAATTGACGGATCTTGCTTCCCAAGTCTGGTTTCTCAATGAGAGTGCGCACGAGATAAATAGTATTGTCTTCTCGACTGCGGGACAGGTTGATAGTTCGATACAAGAGCTCACCACCAATCACTTTGAAGCGGCGAGAGACCTGAGTAAGACTTCCGAGAGCCTGGTTGTCCCCCTCAAGATATGTGGCTATCTCAAGTAGCAACTCGTCGGGTAGATTATTGATAGAATGAGAGGCGGGTTGAAGGGAATGTTGGCGCGGTTCGCGGTCGAGTTCCTGGGACTTCTGCGGGGTTTCTGTCTCTGGGGACACCATCGTGGAGTGTGGTTTTGGGTGAGTCTCAGTAATGCCGAATCGCTAGAATGGTTAGCGAGGAAGTAAAGTGAGCTGAAATGATTAGGTAGACTTACTTGCGCTACGTTCATATCAGTCTTGCCTGAGAGGTGACTTGCAAGAAGATCTCTGGTTGTTTGGGTCGCGCGAGATTGTGGTCGTTGTGTGGGCCAACCAATGTAGAAGGTGCAAACGCCGCGTCAGTCACCTGTTCTTGCAGCGACTCTGTCCGACCCACGAAAACATTTTTTATTTTGGCAGTGAGTCTCTGGCGTACGATGCCCACAAGAAAAGTAATTTGTTCTTCTTCTAGCTAGTTCCCGGAATTGTTGACTAATAAACATTGACCTTTCTACACTTTCTCGCCCGCGACACGGCGAACCCATTGAGCAGTCTCGTCTATCTTGCTAAGGAAAGGACTATGACTGGACTTGATCCTGGTCACATCGATGTCAGCGCCAGCGGCCTTGGCAACCTGGATCATCCCCTCCTGTGTCTCCGGAGCAATGGCGAGATCTTCTTCACAAAGTAGGTAGCTTGTTGGGATGACTTTCCACGCTGTACCCGTCGCCTTGGCCGCGGCAGACCCAACTCCATGAGTCTTGACAAGCGAGAACCAGTGCTTAGATTCGTTTTCGGGGAGATCTTTGTAGAAGACGTCGGGGTCAGTATAGATCAACTGATTCCCCTCAAGTTTGATCCAGTCCGGAGGCTGGCCTTGGCCCCGGCCTACATCCGAGATACCGACTCCTTCAGGTAAGAGAAAACTGGTGATATAGCCAGTCCTTACGACACCGCCTCTTTTGCCTACCGCTTCCCTTTCCTTCTTGCTCATCCCGACTAACCCAGAGCCGGCAACGAGGCCAGCCCAGCTATGGGGTATCACGATAACATCGTTACCGTCTCCAATGGCTTCTTCGACTAGCGAACGTAGAGCTGTGATATCTTGAGAGAGATCTTTAGGGGGACTGGGGTTGTCGACGGAGGGCATCTGGCGGCAATGAGTTGTGTAACCGAAAGAATCTAATTTCTCCATCAACGGAGCCATGTGCGCAGGGACATGCGCTGATCCGGGAACAAAAACAAGCTGAGGTTTGGACATGCTGAAGGTGTTGTCTGATGACAAACGGGTATGAATTGCTCGAAGAGTCGTGATACTGCTGAACTGCTATCTCAAGAGTCCTAGTAAGTATCCTCATACTTATAATGTTGCATAAGCTTACCGTTAGATAAGCTTAGTCTACAAGAAGCCCTACCCTCTGCGCTTTACGTAATTCAACTAGGCCTACCTAGGTAGTACAGACGCACGAGCAGAGAGTAGTGCTTGACTAACGGGCCTTTGCGAAGTGCTAAGAATAAATGACCCATCTCTCGCTCATTTCTAATTGAACATGCTCTTTCTTTGCTGCCACAAATTACTGTCAGAGCTGTAGACTATAGCCAGATGTGTACTTTCCGTGTACAAATCCAGTCACCTAGGTAGTCAACATTCGCGAGCTCTGTGGACGCTAATCGTAGGTAGCTTCAAACCCGTACCGAATACGACGGGCCTTCTGCGAAACCCTAGTGCCACACTGTAATTTCATATGATGTAGAGTTATCATTCCCTGAGCGAGTGTGAGCACATATGCAGGCAGATGACAGTTCGCAAATGAGACAGCTGCGTTTAAGCTCTGCCTTAATGATCTGTGAGACCGCATTACGTTTCAGTATAGTGATGAGAATTCAATGTTTAGTCTAGGCTAACAATGTTTCTAATCCGTCAGCAGCTTACATAAAGTCCGCGTTAGCATCTATTTGAGGGTCGCGCTGGCTAAGCGTGCAAGCCTCCAGAAAGCAGAGAAGCTCCAATCGCATGCTCGAGCCGAAGTAATCCCTATCTGACACATGTTGAACGAGACAATGAGTGTGTGCCGACGGAGCATCGGAGTTCTCGCAGCCCAGGTGGTGTAGAACAGAGGAGACGGCGTTGATCCGAGTAGGTCCGCTGGCCTCTGATTTGCTCAGCACAATCTAGCGTTATAACAAACATGTCGTGCATGAGTGAGCCCTGTACCTCGGCTTTGGCTCTAAGGGGATCGCGGGATTCACTTCCTGTTTCGTTAGGGATTCACCATGACGTCAGATCGGTCCGCGTCACGCCGCCGATCCAGCGACGCATGCCTCGCATCAACGGGAATCACCACGTAACGGTCCAGAGCGTTGCAAGCGCGTCTGGCTGTTGTATCATCACAGTTGCGAAGTCTGGAACCAAGAGAAGACGATTGAGACAGTAAAGGGAAATCTCTGTCTTCACGATGTAGTGTGAGCTAGACAGCGACGTGTGTCCAAGGAATTATGAATTGACAATCAGTTTACAGAACCAGAGCCTTCCTCGAACGCGTCACACAAGCTGAATCAAGCTGGACTTCATTCAATACTTCGGTCAATCTTAAGGATGCTAAATGATCACCGTGATAACATCGTTTTCCACAATCCAATACCTGGATCGCGCTACGCATCGAACACCAGACCAGCAAATCTTGCATTGGTTGTTTCGTCGGTTTTCTCCTATGGCGCCCATCATAGGAAGAAGCCACCGCCACCTAACTTGTCCCGAAGATCACTCGTCCACCTCGAGCGTAGTCGTTCCACGAGTCGATACCATAGTCTTCCAGTATGGATACGTAGGCACATTTTCCCACCCGTTTGCAATCGCAACCTCTCGTACCACATCATACAGCCTCCTCACTCTTGGCCAGTCAGCTCGAGGTGGTATCGTAGCTCCTCTGCTCAAGAGGAATTGTATCACAGCCTTGTCTCCGCGCTCGAAGGCTATCTCCAATGGCGAACAAGTTAAACCTGGAGATTCGAGCTTAGGCCTGTATGCCTTCCCATTTATATCTGCACCAGCGTCTAGGACTGCACCGATGATAGGTATATCCCCATACTGGATGGCACAGCAAAGTGGGTGAGCCTTGAAGGATACAAGTAGACTTTTATTGACACCTACGTTACCTTCATTCAAAAGCGTGTTGACAATATCGGTACTACCTGTGCGGCATGCATTGGCCAAGATATATGGATTGACCTTGTCTCGCGAAGAACACAGAAGCAAGACTGACTTGACGATATCTGTGTTTAAACTCGCAATGGCAGCGTCAAGCCATTCGTTGTATGTTTCTTTAGGTACATAATGGCGAAGCCTCGGGCAAAACTCGACGAGTTCCTCGACAAAGCGGGAGTTACCAGTGTTGACAGCAATGTAGAACGCATCGTCGAAATCGTATCCGTTCCTGCACATATCTCTGCCTCTAGACGTTTTTATGAGCTGATTGAAATGATCCATAACTTCGTTGAAGAGGCCATTGTTGTTCGCGGCCACAGCCATCACTAGTGGACATCGACCGATATATATGCCGGGTATCCAGGTGTTGAGAGGCATCGTTGCTAGCAGAGTCCGCACCAAGTCGAATGCCAGGAATGCCATAGCTGCTACGACCTTTTGCCAATGATCAAGCTCACCGTCGTTATCTATATTCACAAACGACGTACAAAGTGGATGTATGCCCCTAAATCTACCCCACATCATGGTATTGACGCGTGTGGGTTGACAGACTCGCACAAAACCCTCAATCATACTAGTCTCAGTGACTTTCCGATCTTTCTCTGGGATCGCAAGCTCCCGGATCAAGTAGTCGGCCATACGACGAAGCATCTTGAGCAATGGATCGTTGACATCAGAGATCTTGTGAAGATGGATGATTAGGTACTCGGCCATCTTATTTTTGATGACTTCGGGCGTCTTTTCGACAACATTTTCAGGCTGGTGGCTAAGCAAGTCGTCCTCGATTTCGGCGGCGAATGTGCGACATACGCTTCGGAGCTTCCACGTCGAGCTTGGAGATTCGGCGTTGAACTCATGGACGATCATTTTGAATATCTCCGGAGTTAATTCGAGAAGTTCCGTCATGGCTGTGTCGTGGTGAGCTCAGTTGAGGTTCGGAGTTGATCGCGAAGGTGATGCGCAAGGATGATGGCTGATGTGAGGGGAATACAGTGGAAGAGAAAGTGGCCAGAAGACTATGTAAGCACAAATATATAAATTATGCCCTATTGTTGCTTCGGAATAGTTGCGTGAAAGAATTGCATCCTGCCTAAAGAAGGCACCAAAGCTTGCTAACTGGATAGCTGTCACTATAAATGCATTCACGGTATGCGAAAGCCGCTGTCATCAAGATTCGGTCTCAGGGAGTGAAACAGAGACATCAACAAAATTGTTTTATTGTTAGCTGATTGGCAGAAATCAGGACGTCTCCTTGCGCGAAGTAACTGTAGAGAGAGGCCGAGGGACGGGGGATGAAGGAGCGTTGAACATCGTTGGATGCCTTCCATGTTTTCTCTGCATGGCTTTCCGATCCATCATCATTAAAGTGAAGTATGCACTTGTATCTGGCTCCAATACTAAACACCGTGGCATCCGCCTAACCCCGATCAAAAATCTTCTCAGGCAGCCAGAGCATAGTAATACCGTCACTTAGCTATCTTGGCTGCTTTAGATGTCTTACTTTTCTTTTTTCGCTCTTCCACAGCCTTCTGGAGGACCTTGAGTATCTTACCTCGAGAGGGCCAAATGCTCTCCGAAGGGACTTTCGCTCTACATTCGATCAAGTAAGCTACCACATCATACTTCTTGATGTGTATGGCGTATTCCAATGATGTGATAGTGGGGCGTCTAGCGATTCGATGAGTAGTCATAGCGTAGTCGATGTCGGCGCCAGCTTCAACCACCTCCCGAACCATATCTACAGTACCTGATCTTATGGAAGCTGCCAGTGCTGACGAGGTACTGCTGCTAGAGTGCAGTTGTACTTGTCCGTATTTGAGAAGCGTCTTGACGATATTGAGGCTGCCCTTTCTACAACCCTGTTCGAAGGTTCTATTGACGATGTGATAGGGGCTGTCCTCGGCTGTAACTTGGAGAAGAGACTTCAGTGACTCATTGTTCTGGCAGTCAATGGCGAGTTTAACCCACTCATGATAAAAAGGCTTGTTTGTGAGGAACTTATAGTCGTGGAGGTATTCAAGCAGGAGGGCTGTCATTTCGGCGTGGTTGTTGGTGATAGAGTGTGAGACACCAACTTGAATGTTGTATATAGAATCGCTGTCGAGCATCTGGTTCCTTTTCCAGATCTTGCTCTTTTCCTGATCCAGGACATCAAGCATAAGTGTGATCATCTCTGAGTCTCCAAGCCGAACAGCAGCTGAGATTGGATAATCCCATACACTCTGTCGAAGATATCTGGGCGCATCAGGTAGCAACCTAGCGACTAGCCCGTAAGCGCGTACGCTTAACGCCGCGATAAATTTCTCATGCCAGTCCAAACCCGAGCCTGGAGATTCGCACTGCTTCTGGCGCCACTCATTCCTAAATGTGAGCCAAGGTTCGTAACAGAGGTCCGGTTCAGAGGTCCATAGCAAGTCCCCGGCGTATCGACACGTGTCTGCCACACAGGCGCAAACTTCGAGTAGGATGTTGCGATCTTGGCAATCATTTTCGGTCTCGAGTTCCTTGGTAACATACTCTACCATCTCTCGTATCTTCGTAAGCAGTTCGAGAAAAACATCGCGTGGATTCTTTACGTGGTATGCGAGGTAATGCTTCATGTTCTCTGGCTCGCTAAGAAGGCGACTTGCGAGATGAGAGCGGAAAGCTCCCATGGGTTGTATGGCTAATATGTTCTCGCTGATCTCTTGATCGAAATTGCCTGGGAAGTCAGTACTGCATACTTACGCAAATGCTAAGAAGGGTGTCTTACGACAGACTCCACGCAGCTTCCAAGATTCGATCACCCCAGCGCCGCTCACGAGATAGTCAATCATGCGTCTAAAGGTCTCCGGGGGGAAATCGAGTAACTCCATCGCGACAAGGAGTTTGCTACTGCTGTATATGAAACTCGAGCAACAAGTTTCGAGTTAGCAGGTTCCAGAGTTCGACGCGACTGGATTACTTACTATATGTGTACTGACTTAACGCTTTCCTTGTGAATTGTTGGAGAGAACGAGTGGGGACTGAAATGGACTAGGAGGCGGCAGCAGAGGGGAAGTTGTGTTTGTCTTATCACCAAGCATTATTAGCACGTGACCAAAGTAGAGACAGGTACACTGTCACACGCAAGGCTGGCGCCTGAATCCGATGATGTAATTACAAGTTGACGGTCAAACCAGCGCCCTATCAAAATCAAGGTGTTTGTTTTCCCTCTAAGGGTATAGCTCAAGATGACTTTTGAACGCATGTAAATGTCAAGCTCGCCCGCAAAGCTCTGGGCTAAGAGTGGAGACATTGACCAGGCTCCCCTCATATTTGAAAAGGTAGCGCCTTAATCTTCAAACGAAGACTCGCCCCTGTAATCGCAGATCCTTTTAGCTGGAAATAACCCAAGAAAACCATGCAGTACACTCAAAGCTTGCCCCTCACATCATGTGACATACCGCAGAATTCTGTGTAGGACGGAAAACCGCGACAGCCGTCTTCCATCCTTTTAAGCTTTATATACTTGTAGCAAAGCATAAGACCTCTCTCATCCCACACATTCGAGATTTGAGGAATATGTGAACCCTTTTTCAGAAGATAGTGAGATATCTTGAAGTTCCGCCTCTTGATCGCGACCAGGATGGCTGTTGTCTGCTTCGATTTCCAAGTAGATACGTAATTCACGTCCGCACCGGCTTCGACAAGGATCTTCACGATGTTCGGGCGCCCTGCAACCACAGCCTTGACTAGTGGGGATGAAGCAACTGCCTTGTTGTTGACATCGATGTGGCCGTGATCGAGGAAGAATCGTATTACGTCTTCGCGATTGTGCTCGCACGCTGTCTGATAATCAATCCATCTAACCTTCCAAGCGGAACGGCGTCTGGTGCTCCTGAGTGTAGCAACAGCTCGAATCATTGCAAGGCTGGACCGAGTAATTGCAGTCTTCAAGAAGCGATCCCAAACCTTCGCCGGTATGGCGAATGCATGGCTCTTGTACCAGCCCAACAAAAGATTGAGGAGGTCTTCATCGTTCTGACAGATTGCGGTGACGACTGCATCTCCTATGAAAGAATGCTTCATGGATAGCTTCGAGGGACCTGGATGCACGAATATGCACATGTCCATTATGATAGCATCCCGTGTGCACCTCGGATCATTCGGATCATTCAGGACTGCTGAAATGTTCTCCAGCATTGCCTTCATGACAGCTTTGTGACCAAGCTTCGTTGCAAGCTGCAGGGGTGCACCAAAGATATGGTGGCCCTCAAAGCTTGGTAGTCCCTGCATCAATGCGGGTATACGGGAATGATATCCTAGGCAAATTTCGGCCACCAGCTTATCGAGATGTCCGAATGGGGGATGAGGATATATCCAGCCTAATGGAAGTCCTGGTGTCTCACGTCTGAAAACCCACCGGAATAGGAGATTTTCATGGGAAAGTTGGAGAGAGTCACAGAGACCTTGTCGCAAAGTTTCCTTTTCGTTTCCTGTATCCTTGTTCATTCCTTTGGCCATGTGGTTGACCATGTCGTTTACCATATTTGGAAGATCGGGATGTGCATCGAGAAGTACTTTGCTTCGATAGTAGAGGTATCGTCCCGAATTCTCACTGAAGATGCGCTGCGTACGATACCCGAATGCCTTGACAGGCTGCTTTGCAAAAACATTATATGTTATAGTGGCTTTGAAGGTACCTTCAGTTTATTAGCTCGTACCAGAAAATAACACACTACTGCCATTTTACTTACGGCAGACTCCACGAAGCTTCCAAGCCCTACGGATACCAGCAAGAGTAACTAGCTCGTGTATGACATTCTCGAATACTTCCGGTGGCATATTGAGGAGCGGCATCTTCGGAGACCGTGCCGATGGTTACTGGTAGCTTCTTATATGCCGTGAAATTTTAATGTTACCGTCAACAAAATGGTTGATCTGATCGTGTTACCTTGGCAGTCTGTAAAGTAGCTTCTGTGCTCCTGAGTCTGGTGTATGCGTAGTGAGTTTGCCTGACGACGATCAAGCTCGGAGGACTGAGAAGAAGAGAAAGTTTCAGGAAGAAGGTAGCTGTTCTGGTACCTTATGTACTCTAGTTGAGTGCTAGCGAGGTGAAGTGGCTCTCGGTGAGTGGTGAGAGAGGTATTCTAAAGGCGATAAGAGGTCCAGGTGAAGGCAGCAACACTCTCGAACAGAAGGCAAGGTTGAATGTGAAATATTAAGGCTTACTCTGGACCAAGCATACCAATCTTACTGTATCAACTTCATCGTCTCTGGGCTTGCAATTCGACATATCCTCACCCGTATCGGCGCAGTACATATCAAATCCACGGCTCACTTCCATGTTGCTCATGCCGGACCCTCTCTCTTACTTTGACGAATACGGCTCCCAATCCCAGCTTCCAATCCCATCTGATCTGGTCCTGACTCTCCAAATACGTCGGAACGTGATCGCCCGTCTCTCAGCTATCTCCAGGTTGAAACTGCTCGAAGCATGGAGGAGTAAATCTTTTACGCCAAATGGGCTGGTTATTGGATGAAAAGAAAGAGGAAACCGCGAAGAACACCACTATTCACGTTCGCATTAGTTACCAATCTCGTGAAGGACAGCCTAGGCTGATGGCATAGCAGGTATAGATTTCATCTCGTGAGTCTCGAGGCAGATCGCGAAAGCCGGCCATACTAATCTCTTAGGGTGTAGCGGGTTGAGACGTAGATCAAGGTGCTCTGATGTAGTTGAGCGAGTGGGTGTGGTGAGTCACTGAAGGAGGGAAGGAGCGATGCCCACATGTCTCGCCAAGTCTGGACCATGAATGCGCTACGCCCAGTTGGGCCAACGTTTGGAGCACTGCTTTCTCCTAGTGGAAGTCTGTTGCGAGGAGCGATTGTACGAAAAGCGGCGACCAGAAGTCTCACTCGAGCAGTTGATTCTGAAGCGCGTCCAAACACGCATCTGTCGTGTAAAGTCTCTAGTGTATCGCAGATGTCCCAAACGCCGTATGCAATGCAGTCTGTATCATGATATAGACCCATATAGACCCATGTACACCATATGATACATTTCCGTCATTGTGATCCGCCCATGCTTTCTGTTCATAAGTCCATCACCTAAACTTGGCGGTTCCTGGCACATCCTTGATCTCCTCAAACTTGGTGCCCATCTTGACGACGCTATATCTGATCAACCTGGGGTCCAGACTCATGGTTCGCCGTAACGCGTGCTGTGCGCGGGCACTCGCATCGAAGCGCATGATGAAGTGGTGGCCGTAGTGGTGTGTGGACTGCAGCTTCTTTGCTGGCTTGGGGAGGAGGAAGGTGCCCCAGTTGGAGACGCCACGGACGACGCCCTGCTGGTCGAGGACAATTTTGCCTGCGGTTTTGGCGATTCTACAGGATATCGTGTCAGCGGTGTGCTGGAGGTGGTGGAATGGTGGGAGGGCGAAATTACTCTTTTACTTCAGAGAGGCGGCCAGGCCGTACCTGCGCCAGTCAGTATTCCCTTATGCAGACAATGCGACACGCAGCATACCACTCCTATCATCTCGTACAGCATCTTGCCTCGATTGCGCGGTGTTGTTGCTGACGTCGTGCCTTCCGTCGCGAAAACTGTTCGAAAGCGGCCAACCTTTCCGCAACCGCGGAGGAGCTCCACACCGATGTCCTTGGCGCGTGTTATCACCTCTCCGACTGCCACAAACTTGAAGCTTTCACATTCCCACACACAATCACTGCAAAATGGCTGCCCGGACTTCAATCGCACGCGCTGCGCGCCAATTCACCTCTGCCGCCGCGAGGAGACCATCACCTTTCGTGTGCCAGAGGTGGCAGCAGGCGACTTCCAAGCAACGGCTATTCTCGGTATCTGCCGCTCGTACGCACACCTGAAGCTTTGGAAAGCAATTGAATTGCAGGCAGGATCGCTGACTGGGCGCAGTGAAGGAGAAGAAGTACACCGAGGACCATGAGTGGATTGAGATGTCTGCGGACGGCAAGACCTGTACGTTCAGCCTCCCCCACTCCCCCGCATCCCGGGGCGCTCTTGCTATCCAAGCGCACAATGACTGACCTGTCGCGCAGGCACCCTAGGTATCTCAGAATACGCAGCAAAGGCCCTTGGCGACGTAGTCTACATCGAGCTTCCCCAGGTCGAAATGGACGTCAGCGAAGGCGATGCCATTGGCGCTGTCGAGTCAGTCAAGTCTGCTTCAGATATCCTCACACCCATCTCCGGAGTCGTCGCCGAGGTCAACTCGGCGCTAGAGCAGACGCCCGCCAACGTCAACAAGGACCCCGAAGGCGACGCGTGGATTGCAAAGATCACCGTGTCTGGTGAGCCAAGCGGCAAGACCATGACAAAGGAGGAGTACGCTGCTTTTACTGAGGAGTAAATGCTCGAGCAAGAGTTGGGAGGAAGCATCAATGCATGACATAGAGATACCTAGGCGCATACTTCAACACGGAATGCGAAAATAACACAGTCAACAATTCAATTTGCGTATGTCGGCAGGTCATTTGACACGCCTATGAACCAAAAGGCCACAAGACGATTGCAAACAGTACTTAGTGTCGCCTGACATCAGCATGTCGTCGCGTCTTGACGTGCATCCTGATGTTGAACCACCCCCTCCTTTGCCCCCTCTCACTAATACGTCTCGCTCGTATCCTAACCAGTCCACACCTTAGGTCCTGGGCAAGTGTATGTAGTGATAGCACTGCTGTACGTATCAACCGTGATACCCGGGTCACTCTGTGCCGCGTATCCAGGGATGTTTGCCAGATAATCACCACTTGGCGACGCACTGCCGCTACCCGTCACTTCAATCTGCGCGCACTCGGCATAAAACTGAGGCGTATTGGCCTGGTGGAGAGCAAGTAACTCATGGCGAACGAGGTAGTTACCAGGCGCAAGCGACTTGGGAACAACGGATTCCCAGTACAGGTTCTTGAGGACCTTGGCCGTGCCCCAGTTACGTCCCGAAAGGGGAGGCGCTGTCATGCCTTCTTGGTCGATCTAGCCGTACCGGTTAACACAAAGGTAAATATGATTGAGATGTTGGGAATGCATACCTTGAACCACTTCTTTCCACTGCCATCGCAGCTCTTGAAGTCACCAGAGCACTTGTACATCCAGACCATGACTGGACCCTGCTCGTGCGTCCATTGCTTCCAGTTGGCACGGATCTTTCCGCCGGCAGCTACTTTGGCAGAGAGATCGGCTGATGTGCCACCGTTGCACATGACTTTCTTGTCGTTGACGCTCATTGTGGGGTTGTAGTCGGGCCATTGGCGTTGGATTGTCTTGGGCGAGGAGGCAGGTGAGAAACCTTCGTAACTAGATTACCGATTAGCAGTCAGACTCAATAACTTTGCAGATTTTCACAAAGACAGCTTACCCTGGGTACGTAACTCCGTCGATGACATAGCTGGTGACAGCGCCGTGGGCGGCAGCCTGCGCAGCAAGAAGCGCGGTAGGCAGGAAAACGTTTGAGAACAGCATATTGATTTGATCAGATGTTTGCCTTGAAGGTCGATACGGGTTACATCTTTATTCTTCTCTCGTTCTTATATAGTCCCCAGGCGACCGCACTGTCCGACCTCTACGCCCAATGCTAGCATTCAATATCCCTCATGATCACATTACCACCACCTGCCATTCGTCTCTTTCTGACCAGCCTCGTCACGCCCACTTCACATAGAGGCGATAGTACTACCTCAATATCCATGTAATATACGAAGATGCTGTCGCCGGACCGGTTAAAGACTATTGGCTGCGCAACACTATACATGCTTCGCTAGCGAGCGAGCCTCCATGTCGGCTCTTGGATCCCGATCCATATCGGGACATGATGGGAAGGCGAGCAGTACCCCGGATGTTTAATCTACGTGCCAGAAGTGTGTATACACGGCGTGACAGTGTGAAGTTAGATGGCGCATGCGTTGTCGTGTAAGCAGCGATGTTCTGGAATACAGCGAAGAAAGCCATTTGGAAGACGGAAGAGGCGTCGACAAGGATGAAGATACGTTAATCAGTTGTGCTACCACTTTTGGTACCTGTTCGTCATGGATGGCGCGATCAAAGATCTAGGGATCGGCCATTTTCCCACTGCTGCTTATTCAGGTAACTTTTGGAGAGCCGTAATCCGAGAGACATAGTTGTTGGGGCTGCAATTAACAATCGGAGTCTCGCGTGTACAGAAGCGTGTCTTGTCGTAGCTTGGACCAGCTCCTTCATTTGCACAACAAGAAATAACAACATTTGATGACGTCGATGACGAAGGTAATGAAATTCGCAAGAACGACCTTGGGGAGGTTGGTAAAAGCACCAGGCGCTAGTTGACACGCTAACTGAGTCGACCTTGCCGCCCAGCATTCCTGGCACCAACTCAGTTTCATCAACTTATTTTGCAAAACCAAATGCAAACGGCACATGTGAAGTAAAGGTTGCATTGCGAAAATGACTGTGACCCAAGGCGCGGTCTGGTATCTCTCGCCCTTGCTAAATCCATAACAAACCCCCACCTTGCAGATCATAACAATAACATGTCTAAAAATTCTTTGACGCCTCGATTCCTTTTGCGTCTGCACCATGCATGACTTCTTCATCGTACCGGTCATCACCATCAGTATAAGCGACACTGATATCCGTAATTTCATCACCGACCTCCATCCAAGTGTCACTGCACGCTGGAATAGGACTGATTTTGCATAGTGCCCAGTACGTGATGCTCGCGACAAGGAAACCAGCGAAGAAATTAAGGTCATAGATACGCTTCGCACCAACGGGTACGTCACGACCAATGGCACCTGCAAAGCCGACGACGTTGATGAGAATACCGGCAATGTAGGCTGCGTAACCGCGCCAGTGGAATCCAAGGGTGTAGTAGTATGGACCGGTCTTCTTTCCAGAGTAGAGATCCTTGATCTGAAGGTAGCCCTTTCGGACGACGTAATAGTCGCAGATCATAACACCTGCGATGGAGGAAAGGAAGACTGAGTAGGCAGAGAGGTAGGTCGTGAAGTTGTTGGTATCGGAGAGTAGGTTCCAGGGGCACATCACCAGGCCGACGAGCGCGCAAATGTAACCACCTCGTCTGATGCTAATCCATCGGGGTGCAAGCGCTGTCATGTCAGTTCCCGCACTGATGGAGTTTGCTGCGATGTTTGTGCCGAGTTGAGCGAGAGCAAAGGCTGCGGCAATGCAGAATACCCCAAAACGCTGCGCTGATCCACCCTCGTTCAGGAAAGACTCTAGCAGCTTTAGAGGATCCCAGATAGCCACGCCAAAGATGACAGTCGACGATGATGACACAATGATTCCAATGAATGAGGTAATTGCAAATCCAATAGGAATCGTTAGCAGTTGCGGAAGGAAGGCGTTCGATGGCTTCTTTGCGAAACGGGCAAAGTCAGGGTCGTTAACAATCAAGGTAGCAAAGTTGGCAATGGCGCTCATGATTCCACGGACCATCAACCAGCCAAGCTCAGATCCCTTAGCCGTGCCTTGCTGATGAACGATTGGGCCCAACCCCTTTGCACGAACGATAGCCCAGATGAAGAAGGCAACTCCAGCGGTAGGAACAACGTAGGCTTTTACCGTGAACAAGTGGCGGATCTTGTGTACTGGTGGATAGATGAAAGGTAGCGATCCAGCCCAGAACAAGAAGAAAGATACAAAGGCGACCGTGCTGGTGCCAGAGCCGGCAATGCCGTTGGTGATGCCGCCTGTACCAGGGCCTTCGGAGTCTCGCCAGTTGTTCCAGATGGCGCGGATCATTAGGCGTACACAGGTACCGCCAATCCATGCTTGTACGCCGTACCAGATACTAGCCATGGCCGCGCGGTTGAAGACGGGCCATAATGCTCCCCAAATACCAAAGGATGAGCGGTTGACAACAGGGAAAGAGATATGGTAGGTCGCACCGATGCGACCAGTCATGCAGACAAAGCAGGCGGCGATGGAGTAGCCAAGCTGTTGTTGAATCAGCGTATGTCGATATAGTCAGATATCGGATCTCATACCCAAACGCATATCCAGGATTGCCACCATGACAGACCGTCAACGATATTTGCGGAAGAAATCATCCATGTGTTGATGTTGAAAGAGTCGGCTATACATGATTAGTCCACATTCATGGTCGGTTTCGAGAGTCCTTGACGTACCAACCCAGAAGCCTACGAAATTCCAAGCACCCCATTGTCGACGCTCCGGTTCGACTGGCTTCAAGTCGTGGTTAAAGAGCATAAGCTGCGCAGTCGTGAGGTTGGGCTCGCTCTCGACGGCGAGCTTATCCGCCCAGTAAGCGACCTTTGAATTCTTGACTCTCTCCATGATGAGGCTGTAGAAGAAAAATCCTTCGTCACTTGAATGGTGGACGGTCGAGGTTGCAACAGGCCTTATGAAGCTCTCGCTTCGGCTGCTCGAAGCCGTTGCTTGGTAGGAATGAAGATCCCCGCTCGTATGACGTGGGGGGCTATCAGAAGCGAGTGAAGGTCTCGGTACGCCTAGTCTTGGTGAGGATTGCGGTTGGATGAGTGGTTGGCGTTCAGAATCCACGTTGGGTGGTTTTTGAAGGTAGTCGCAAGGTATATATAAGATATCGAGATGGACGCACTACTGCGTGACGGAGTATTGACGTTCGCCGCTGAAGAGGCTCCCATCTGGGGCATGCTCCATCTTAAATATCAAGAACGACTTCGTGCAGCACAAGATCGACCCTAGATCCACTCCACGCTTAGATACTACCCTGCCTCCGCATCGGAAGTAATTTTGGTTGTGGTCGCTGGCTGGTAGGCCCGTTCCGGTAGTCTTATCTTCAAGTCGCGATAGCCCGCGCGGTATGCTCCACCAAGATGTTCGCTACAGTTTTGCCGCTAGAAGTCCCGACGAACAGCTCGTGTGCTGGCCATCAACACCATGCATAGTCTCGAGGATGCAGGCACTGCAGAATTTGCGTTCTGGGCGTGTGAAGGATGGCATGATGAGTGGGTGAATCTCCGCGGATGACGCAGCGCCATGGTAACAACAGTATCGCGTGCCCACCAGGGGTGTGTACTGAAGTCTTGGGGACTATGCACGTCTGCGCAGCTATCTCCGCGATAGGAGCCACAGGAGCCACAGGAGCAGAGATTTCCCTACTTTTTGACTCGATAGAAACATGTCACCACAGCCCTGGACCCGGAGAAGCTCTCTATCTTGCAGCAGCCGGCGCCATGATCGTTCGAGGTTGCATCTCTCCGTTCGCTTGGAGGTTTCTAGCTGGGGAGATAAAGGCGATGTGGGGTACAACGGGGCGCTCGCCGCAGCCACTCAGCGGCCGCCATATCCAGTTTACTCGATGACATCGAGTAAACCGTCGGCCTACTTATAACATACCTCACCTGGACATTTCCCAGCCTCACGGCTGAGCTGTGAGTCCTGCCTGGTCATGCGCTTGCACATGCCTTTTGCATGCTGGGGGCCATGGCGCAGGCCGACTTCGCCAGCCTCGAATTCTTCCGGGACTCGTATACCGTTTCAAGCTGTTGGACGGCCAGCATAGCACAGGTTTCTTCGGTGACGCCGCGAGTTGGTGGTGAGATACGCGCATACTCGAATCAGCATGCGATCGACAAAGCTATCTTCGACACAACCGCGACGCCATTGTACAGACGTCGCGTCAAGTGTTAGCGAATAATTTTTAAGAAATTGATTACGGCTACACAAAGCATGTGAGAAGACTTTTCGCTCCTCCCAGGCATTGCACGATCCGGAGTCGTGCAGCACGGCCATCACGTGGCTTGCAAACACCACAACCTCGACCTCTAGCTCAATCAAACATCATCTAGCATCTTGCGCGGTATATGCCACCTCTCACGCGGTCTTCCGGGGTTCCCAAGCCCGCGGAACGGATCTCAACACTCCCCATGCCTTCCGCATCCAAGACGATCGGAAACAACATCGAACAGCGGCTATCTGCAGATAAACAAGCCTCAACATCAGATATCACTCCGACTCCATCAAACAAAATGTGCCGGCTAGGGGCTGCTCGTCTATCGGGCCTTCCAAGAAATGCCCCAAATATCATCAGCCTGGCTGCGTGAGGTTGTTTCGGACGCGGCGTGTTTCAACGTCCGCTTGGAGTAATTTCCCGTCTACAGCGACAGGACCACTGAAGATGAAGTTTCTTCAACCAACTGACATTGTTTCGCTTTGATGAGCAGGTGGCGAGATCGTGGCGCGTATGATTAATGACGTTTTAATTCGTGACTATGGTTCATTCTAGACATGCCCAATACCCAATATCCAACGTCGGTAAGCATTAGACGTTATCATGCTCATCCATCCCATCATAGCGAGTTATCCAGAACGCCAGCAGGTAAAATCAAACCAAGCCACCCATTGCTAAATCAGATCATAAGGCATCAACGCGAATTCTTTACCGTCGCCCGGCCATTCTATTACCATCCATTGTTGCTGTGCTTGGGCTTCTTGTGCTTGTCCTCGAGCTTGCTGCCGAG